CACGTCTGACCCACTTGACGATGGCTCCGCGGGAAAATTCTTGCCACGTCGAATTTACGAAATAAAATAAAAACAATTAAAATCCAAAAAAGATCGCGACTGGCGACCGTCCATGGATCGGGATGTCCATTCCGCAACTTGCTCTTCCTCCAGCACTCCTCCTCTTCTACCATCATGAGCGTCAAGGCGAACCCCGGCGACAAGGTCGTCTTGGCCTACAGCGGCGGCCTCGACACGTCCATCATCCTCAAGTGGCTCGTCAACAAGGGCTTCCAGGTCGTGTGCTACTGCGCCAACGTCGGCCAGTTTGGCGAGAACTTTGAAAAGGTGCAGGCCAAGGCCATGGCGCTTGGCGCCGCCAAGGTCTACATCGAGGACCTCCGCAAGGAGTTTGTCGTCGACTACCTCTGGCCTGCGGTCCAGGCCAACGCCATCTACGAGTCGCGCTACCTCCTCGGCACGTCGCTCGCGCGCCCGGTCATTGCCAAGCGAATGGTCGAGATCGCCGAGAAGGAAGGCTGCAAGTACGTGGCCCACGGCGCGACGGGCAAGGGCAACGACCAAGTGCGCTTTGAGCTCTGCGCGCAGGCGCTCAACGCCAGCCTCAAGACGATCGCGCCGTGGCGCGACCCCGAGTTCATCGAGGCCTTCAAGGGCCGCCAGGACCTTCTCGCGTACGCCAAGGCGCAAAACATCCCCGTCGACGCGACGCCCAAGGCGCCGTACTCGGTCGACGAAAACTTGTACCACACGTCGTACGAGTCGGGCATGCTCGAGGACCCGATGACGGGCCCGCTCCCCGAGATGTTCAAGATGACGGTCGACCCCAAGGTGGCGCCGGACGCGGCCGAGAAGATCCGCATCACATTCGAGAACGGCGTGCCGGTCAAGGTGGCCAACCTCACGACGCCGTCGTCGCCCGTGTTTACGGACCCGCTTGAGCTCTTCCTCGAGCTCAACCGTCTCGGCGGCAAGCACGGCGTCGGCCGCATCGACATTGTCGAGAACCGGTTCGTCGGCATCAAGAGCCGCGGCGTGTACGAGACGCCGGGCGGCACCATCCTCCGCGACGCGCACTTGGACCTCGAGGGGCTCTGCATGGACCGCGAGGTCATGAAGCTCCGCGACTCGCTCAGCGTCAAGTTTGCCGAGTTTTGCTACAACGGCTTTTGGTTTGCGCCCGAGATGGACTTTGTGCGCCACGCGATCGCGTTTTCGCAAAAGGCGGTCGCGGGCCACGTCGACGTCGAGCTCTACAAGGGCAACGTCACCATCACGGGCCGCTACTCGGACGTCGCGCTCTACTCGGCCGACCTCGCCAGCATGGACATGGAAGGCGGTGGCGCCAACATCGAGTACAACCCGAGCGACGCGCAGGGCTTCATCCGCATCAACGCGACGCGGCTCAAGGCGTACAACTGCATCCAGAAAAAATCGGCGTAAGCCACAAGAGAATGCTATGTATTGCGTGTGTCTACGGCTTGTGTACTTGTGGTTCTGGTTCGAGTCGGATTCTGGCCTGAGAGCGTGCCACGTCATCGGCAGCGCCGACGAAACGAATAACCGACAGCGCAACCGCAAAGAGATGTCTCGTGTCGCCCCCGGCATACACGTCGTTCGGGCGGCCAACGCACCGGTCGCTCGCGACAGGAGCGATGACTATGGACGGGCCGACGCTGTGGCGGGGCTCTCGTATCTCGTGCTGTCGCTGGCGTGTGGCGTGTGGTACCTCGTGCTCTTGGCGCCGTACTTTGCCAACGACCTTTGGTGGGCGGCCTTTGACGCTCCGGTTCACCAAGCGTACCTCGTTGACGTCGCCAACACGCTGTTGGCAACGACGCATGGCAGCAGCGCGTTGGATCTTCAAGCGCCGCGCGCCATGGTACACAAGGTTTATGCAGGTGATGCGTCGACCGACGTCTGGCCCTCGTACGCCCGCCACGTGCTCCTGAACGAGCTCACGTCGATCGAGTACGCTGTGCCGCAGCTGCGGCAGCTGAGTGCGAGCTGGTCCATGCGCATCGCGGTGCAGCACTGCTGGGTCGACTTTGAGCAAAAGTTTCAAGTTGCCCATACGACAAGGCGGCAGCAGCGCTGTGCGACGCACTTTAGTTCGGATGGAGGCGTCTACTTCGAGTCGATCCTGCGCAACACTCGTTGGACCGAGTTTCTCGGCGTTTGGGGCGGCGAGAACGGACCGTTCACGCTAGCGATCCAGCGGCCGCTGTTAGAGTCGGCGCGCGGCCGGTCGTTCCTTGACAGCGTCCAAGTCGCCCGGGAGAGCAAGAGCGTGGACGATGAAATCGCCTACTGGCGCCAATTTGGCCTCGACCGCTTCCAGGTGCAGTGGCAAAACCACGGTCAACCCGGCGTCGCCGAGTCGGTCGTCTTGACAAACGCGCTTCAGATGCAACAAGTGGTGTCGATCAAGAATGTACCCCGGGCCACGGGGCCGTGGACGTCGTCATGCCTCTTTTGGCTTCCACTGAACGACCTCTGGACGGGCCAGAGCTTAAACCGGAGCATGGTCCGGGGCACAGCGACGTACTTTGGCACCTCGCTCAGTTCTGCGCAGCCAGCGGTTGACCTCGAGGTGGTAAGTGGCTACGGGGACAGTCGTGGTCACTTCGAGAACCAATCAGCGCTCTTTCGCAGTCATATCGGACCATTCCTGAGCGTCGACAGCTTCTACGTCCCAGTACCACGAGCTCTCCAAGATGCCTACGACGCTTTTCAATCGGCACTGTACCGCCAGCTTCTCTCGACACCTGGCGCCTTGGCGCGCTCAACGGCGCTCGAGACGACCTCTGTGGGGCTTCGACCGCCGCAGTTTGCCAACACCTCCATGTACTATGGAGGGAGTCCCTTGTGCTTTAACAACGCGGGCACGTCCTTTCCGCAGGAAGCCTTTGATTTTGTCGACGACTGCTCGTCATCGATAGAGATGACGGCGTCGTGGTCACCCGATGGCGCATTTTTTGCGCTTGCCATGGCGACGCCCGCATCGATTGCGGGCGCCTGCGCTGCGGCAGTGCCTTCCGGCCTCTGCAGCGCACGTCTGCAAGCCGCGTTGAGCCTGCTTCAAGAGCTTTCGGTGTCTTCCGACGATCTCCGTGCCAAGGCGAACGCAGTGGCGCAAGCTCTTAACGTGAGTCTGATGCAATATGTTGCGCGCGTGGACGGCTCGTGGACGCTGGCGTCCCAGCCGCTACATGACCCATCGTTTGCCTACTTTGGGTGGCTTCTCCTGAGCGAGTGGGCTATGGGTGTCCGCGAAGTCGTCTCCTTTCAAGGCGACGTGGGGACCCTAACCCTGGTATCCAGTGCTAGCACCGCGCAAGCCATGCCGACGGGAACGCAGCCACTCGAGACCGCAACCAAGGGCGTCTTCTACCTCGTTGTAGCTACGTCGGTCGGGCTCGGTGCTATCGGGCTTCTTACCATCGCCTACGTGCTCGTCGGGCGGCTCCATTTTCAGGGCCGACACCTTTTTTCGTTCAACCGCATCGTTGGCGCCGTGTGGGTTGGTCGCCCGCTCTTGTTCTTGCGCGGCGTCACGGCCATCTTGCTACTGAGCTCGGCGAGCGTCGACTTGCTGGAAGCCCATGGCTACACCCGGTTGGTGACGAAGGCGCGTCCGCTGGTCCAGACGCTCGTCATCGCTGGCGAGGCCACGTGGTTGAGCTACGTTCTTCATGAATTGCTCTCGATCGTCGTGCCGCCTCATGTCACGAAAGGCTACAGTCCGATTGCTACGTTTATAACTTGGTTCGCGATTCTGCTGCTCGATGTCGCCAGTCCCGTTGGTGTCTCGATGACGCTTGACCGTCACTGCGTTGGAACTGATATCAACTATGCTGTCCGCTGCACCAGCGGCGTCATTGCCAACGGCAACTTGATGCGCGTCGGGACGCTTCTCGCACTCGTACTGTGTACTTCGGTTGGCAGCCTCCTCGTTCACTGGTGGCGCACGCCGACGAGCCAACACGATGACTGTGCGTCGCTGCTTCTCCCAGGGATCGCCAACACCTTCTTGTCGACAAGGACGAGTCACGATGAGACATTGGTGGACGACGTGGCGTGTGTCTTGAGCGGACTTCTTCCGCTGCACCTCGCACGTGCCGTTCTGTGGCGTCGCTCTGCCTCGTCGCCGACGATCGACCTCTTTGACTACAAGCTCTGGGTGCGAGTTCCCGTCCTGCGCTCGGTGTCGCTTGTCAACGCCAAGGTGCTCTGTCGACCAACGCTGACGCTACCGTCTTCGCCGGTCGCCATCAACGTCGGACCGTCGGTGCCGGTTAGTGTCAGTCCAGACCAGCGCCGGCTCATTCGCCGAGCATCAGCAAGCCTACTCGCTCTCACAAAGCATGTGCGGCTGCTACATCTGTGGCGCATTCTCGGGTTCGTGTACATGCTAATGGCCATCGCCAGCAGCGTCTCGTACCTCGAGGTGTCCCAGATCAACTTGGGAAACGACCTCTTCTGGGCGACCTTCAACACGACGGGCGCCCACGTTTTCATTGCGAATTGGCTCCACGAGCAGCTGCTGCTGGGCAAAACGTCACTGATCAAGGTAGCACTCGACGGACCCAGCGTCAGCGCCATGGCGTCGTACGCGTCACCTAATCCAGTGGTGCTAGCGTCCAGCAGCTTCGGTAGCTACCTCCAACGCGATGTGCTGAGTCGACTTCCTGCCGCCATCCAAGGACTGCGCGTCTCGGACCCGTGCGCGGCGCCGTGGATCTTTACCCCGTACTGCTACGTCGACTTGAACCAAACGTGGGCGGTCGCCAACTCGGCCGCTCGCCAAGCGCGCTGCTCGACAATGGCGCGCTCTTCCTCGAGACCGTATTGCGCAATGTCGAGTTTGCTGCCTTTTCCTCGTGCTGGGGCGTCGCGTTTGAGATCGCAGTTGCTTCAGAGCTCAAGCGCTCGGTCGCAGGCCGAGCGTGGCTCACGACGCTCGCGTCCCAAGCGCGGCCATCGATCGCGGACGAAGCGCATCACTGGTCCCAATTCGGCATTCGCCACTTTACAGTGCAGTGGCAAAACTACAAGCGCATCGGCCTCAACAATATGTATGCCATCACCAACGCCTACGGCGTCTCATACCCGCTGACGCTACAGGCACAGAGTGGCGTTTACCGCCTGAGCTCGCAGACGTCGTTCAAAATGTACTGGTCGCTCGCCAACGACTTTGTCGCGGTCGCGTCCAACACGACGCTTGTCGGTGGGCTCAGTTTGCTTCGGTCCAGCGCCCGCTTTGCCTTTGCCAACACGACGCCGGCGGCGATGTTGCAGCAGAATGGGACGCTCTTGTCCCCGATCTCGGCCGGCTTTGCGCTCGTCACGCACATTCTCGGTCCCTTCGGCTCGATCGACATGGTTTACGTCCCAGTACCTCGGCGCCTGCGCGAAATTGTCGGTGCGCTCGTCGACCGCACGCGTGTTTCGTTGGCAAATGATTTGGACGCCCAAGCCGCCTACCGCCGCATCACACCTCTCGACGCCTCGTTTCCCGTGCCAACGGCGTGGCGCGTCGAGAACGTGTTCACGCTCGGTGGGTCGCCGCTCTGTCCCGAGATCAACATTGCGTACCGCGTCTCGCAAGGCCTCTTTGGTCTCCCGTCGTCCACGGCGATTTGCCATGCGGCCATGGGCGTCGCAGGTCCCATCACGCCGACGCGGCAGCAGCTGATTGTTGCGGCACTCTTGGCGTCGTCGCCCGTTGATACAAGTGCTGCCTGCCAAGGGGACATCAACTTTGTATCGCAGTGCGAAGCGTACCTCGGTCAAGTGACTTCGTACATTGACGCGTACGACCTGGCGGGGTCACCCACCGACACGGCGCTCGCTGCGGCCGAGGTCGCGCCCTTGCAGATTGAGTTTTTTGCCTACACCAAAGTCAACGTCACGGACGACCTCTCGGTGCGCCGGACGCTCGTGCTCAACGCGACCGACCCGGACTTTACCTTCTTTGCGTGGATGTACCTCTACGACTGGGTGCTAGGTCGACGGGACGTCGTCACGTTCGTTGGAGACGTTGGCTTCATGACGCTACTCTTTGATTTGGAGCCGCCGCTGTCGCAACCGCCGGATGCGTCGCAAGTCACGGCCAACGTCGCCCAGTATCTCCGCGCCGGCATCGTGTACGTCACTTGCGTCGTGCTTGCGGTCGCGGCTGTCGCCTGCTTGTACATTGTACGAAGTCAATTCCAGTTTGAAGGACTGAACATGCTCGAGCTCGGCCGCGTCGGAGCCGTCACGTGGGTTGGTCGGCCGCTACTTTTGCTGCGATCGACGACGGCGCTCTGCGTCCTCTCGACGGCAACGCTCGAGCTGCGCTTCTCGGGCGTCCTCAGCGCCTTCTCCAATGTGCCCACGCCGTGGTACGCGACGCTGCTCGCGGCCAACGAAGTCACGTGGCTTGTCGCCGTCGTCAACGACCTCTCGCTCGTGCTCACGCAAGCCTACACACCCTACTACGTCACGCCCAACGGCCTCCTCGTCTCGGCGCTCGTCGCGCTTCTCTCGTTTCTGCAGCCCGTGCGCGCCACCCTCGACATGGACCTGCGCTGCGACATCGTCGACTTGGACTTGGACGTAGCCTGCACCACGGGAATCATTACCATCGGGCGCCTCGACCGCTTCGTGCTCTTGATCAGCCTCGTGATCGCCGTCAACGGGCTCTGCTACCTTGTCACAAGGCGGCTGGTGCAAACACCGACTGCCCCAGTTGCGTCACTCTTCCTCTCGGCCGGCGCGCGCTTTCTGTTTGCCCAGCCTAGGCAACACGACGGTATCTACTTCCTGGACCCGGCATCAGCCGCGCTCAACGGCATCCTCACTTGGCACACACACGACCAGATTCTCGCCCTCGACGTCAAGCTCTGGCGCACCTTTGTCATCGCTGCACCACACCGCAGTCGGCCTGACGCGCTCGCCGCCGCGTGGCCACTCCTTGCGTGACGAGTACAACATTGGCTCACTGCAGGGTGCTACACGACCAGCCACACCTTCGATATCCCAAGGCTCTTGGACTGTGCTCCAACGCAACGATGACGTGGCACGCTCTTAGGCCAGAATCCGACTCGAACCAGAACCACAAGTACAC